AGGTGACTGGAGTGGTAAAGAATCACCTGCCGATGCAGGAGGTATAAGAGGTGCTCATTCGATTCCTGGGTAGGGAAGATCCCCTGGAAAAGGAAATGGCACCCCACTCCAGTATTCTTGCCTGGAGAATCCCCATGGACAGAGGAGCCTGGCAGGCTACAGTCCATGGGGTCGCAAAGAGCTGGACGTAACTGAAGCGACTTAGCACGTACACCCTTGATTAGCAACTGTTCAAATCTGCCCTTTGGAACTCACGGAAAGTTATAATGCTGGAGTCTTGCCTATAAGAAATGGGAGAGAGAAAGGCCTCCATGCCTGGAAGCCCTACAGGGCCCTGCTCCATTTCAGTTCCCAAAACATGGAATGTAGTAGCCATTCTCAAGGTGGCCCATACGAGTCTCACCTTCTTATACCCATGCCCTTCTGTGATCTTCCCCACACTGAATAGGACTAACTTATATAACCAAAAGGATATTGTGGCTTTCAAGGTTAGGTGATTTTGAGACATTAGCTTCTCTATCATTTTCTCAAATCTCTCGCTCTGTGGGAATCCAGATGCCTTGTCATGAGGATACTCCAGAAGCCCTGTGAAAAGTCTCATGAGATGAGGAACTAAGGCCTCTCAACAAAAGACAGCATCAACTTGCCACCTCTGTAAACGAGCCATCTTGGAGTGGATACCCTAGCCCCAGTCAAGTCTTCGGATGACTGCAGCCCTGACCAACTTCGACTTATAAGAAACCCCAAAACAGAACCACCCCACTAAGCTGTTCCTCAATTCTTGACCCATATAACCAAGCTACTCCCAAATTTCTAACCTTCAGAAACTACGTGAAATAATAAACATTTATATTTTAAGTCACTAAGTTTTGGAGTAATTTGTTACAGCTAGGGTAAATAATACACAGAAGTTTAATATAAGTCATTATAATATATACACAATAAAATGGAATTTGGAACATACTCTTCCATTCTTCTTGAGTTAGTTTTAATTTCCTTGGTACATTATAATCTCACAGACATGCAATCACCTAAAGTGGGAAAAAACATTGAGATTAGTTTAAGGGAGTGTTGAATGACATTTATCTCTATAAACTATGACATTAAACTGTGACATTAACAACAACAACAAGTAAAATTGCTCAGTCGTGTCCGACTCTGTGATCCCATGAACTGTAGCCCACCAGGCTCCTCCATCCATGAATTTTCTAGGCAAGAATACTGGAGTGGATTGCCATTTCCTTCTCCAGGGGATCTTCCCAACCCAGGGATCGAACCTGGGTCTCCTGCATTGCAGGCAGATGGTTTACCCTCTGAGCCACCAGGAATCGGAAAAAGAAGTACAAGAGCTGTGGCTTATCCCCTCTATCTTTGCAGAGCAGTCTCAGAGACGGAAGAAACATTGCCATCAAATGACACAGGTCTGTTTAGTAGCCAGCTTAATTACTGGCAGATAAATGCAATCTTCGTGTTTCTTAAGGTAAATTAATGCCAATGTAGGGCCTCCCTGGTGGCTCAGCAGTAAATAATCTGACTGCAATGCAGGAGATATGGGTTTGATCTCTGGGTCAGAAAGATCCCCTACAGAAGGAAATGGCAACACATTCCAGAATTCTTGCCTGAGATATTCCATGGACAGAGAAGCCTGGTAGGCTACAGTCCAGGTGGACACAACTTAGCAACTCAAACACCACGACCAATGTCCAATATGTCTTTTGTATGTTTTTAAATTATATTCTGAGTATTAACTGGTAATCTTCATATACAACAGATTTACTTTTCTGTTATTCTGATTACTAAAATATTTGATGGTTCCATTCCCCTGATCTGCTAGATTAACAGAATTTATTGCATCCAGAAAAACAATTGCCGTTATACCTGGAAAAACTATTTATCCTGAAAATAAGCTTAATACTGCTATCAATATGTTATCTTTCCTCAGTAAAGGAGTCCTTTCTGGTTAAATAAGCTTTACAATGAGAACAGACTACGGAGAATTTTGCCATATACAGAGCAAAGAGTGAATAGTAAGTTTCCAATGTGATCTTGTCTACAATAAAGTGATCCTTAGGAGGGTGGTACAAGTATGTCCCATGCAACAAACATTTTATATGAAAAACTGAAAGAATATTCCAAATGTTCAAGCTGGTTTTAGAAAAGGCAGAGGAACCAGAGATCAAATTGCCAACATCCACTGGATCATTGCAAAAGCAAGAGTTCCAGAAAAACATCTATTTCTGCTTTATTGACTATGCCAAAGCCTTTGACTGTGTGGATCACAATAAACTGTGGAAAATTCTGAAAGTGATGGGAATACCAGACCACCTGACCTGCCCCTTGAGAAACCTGTATGCAGGTCAGGAAGCAAATTAGAGCTAGACATGGAACAACATACTGGTTCCAAATAGGAAAAGGAGAACGTCAAGTCTGTATTTTGTCACTCTGCTTATTTAACTTATATGCAGAATACATCATGAGAAACGCTGGGCTGGAAGAAGCACAAGCTGGAATCAAGATTGGCGAGAGAAATATCAATAACCTTAGATATGCAGATGACACCACCCTTATGGCAGAAAGTGAAGAAGAACTAAAGAGCCTCTTGATGAAAGTGAAAGAGGAGAGTGAAAAAGTTGGCTCAACATTCAGAAAACTAAGATCATGGCATCCGGGCCCATCACTTCATGGCAAATAGATGGGGAAGCAGTGGAAACAGTGTCAGACTTTATTTTTGGGGGCTCCAAAATCACTGCAGATGGTGATTACAGCCATGAAATTAAAAGACGCTTACTCCTTGGAAGGAAAGTTATGACCAACCTAGACAGCATATTCAAAAGCCGAGACATTGCTTTGTCAACAAAGGTCCATCTAGTCAAGGCTATGGTTTTTCCAGTAGTCATGTATGCATGTGAGAGTTGGACTATAAAGAAAGCTGAGCACCGAAGAACTGATGCTTTTGATCTGTAGTGTTGGAGAAGACTCTTGAGAGTCCCTTGAACCGCAAGGAGATCCAACCAGTCCATCCTAAAGGAGACCAGTCCTGGGTGTTCACTTGAAGGACTAATGTTGAAGTTGAAACTCCAGTACTTTGGCCACCTGATGCAAAGAGCTGACTCATTGGAAAAGACTCTGATGCTGGGAAAGACTGAGGGCAGGAGGAGAAGAGGACAACAGAGGATGAGATGGTTGGATGGCATCACAGACTCGATGGACATGAGTTTGGGTGGACTCCAGGAGTCGGTGGACAGGGAGTCCTGGCATGCTGCGGTTCATGGGGTTGCAAGGAGTCAGACATGACTGAGTGACTGTCTGAACTGAAAGAATCTTTACATAAACTGGAAAAAAAAAAGATATTCCAAATTAGCTAAATTTTCCAGTACAAGGGCAGACTTAGAAGCAAGTAATATGGTGTTAAGATTTTGTTCTTTTGCTGCGTTGTTCTTTATTTTTCCATTTTTTAGGCCTGGGGCATCAGTAAGTATGCCTCACATAAGTAATATAGGCCTATGCTTATGAAGAATCCAGTGCTTTCAAGTTCTGCCTGCTCATTCCTCAACACTGGAAACTCAGGAGTCCTTTCTGCTTCCTCCTGCATCCTGTAATCAGCATTCCCCCAATTCAAATCATCACCAGGTTCTGTGGATTTTACTTTCAATTTCTATCTCCCCCAGTACCCTGCTGAATCTAGCTGTTGCTTCGTGCTTGAACTACTCTTAACAGCTTCCAAATTAAATCCATGGGATTTCCCAAGCAAGAATACTGGAGTGGGTTGCCATTCCCTTCTCCAGGGGATCTTCCCAACCCAGGTATGGAACCCGGTCTCCAGCACTGGCAGGGGGATTTTTTTTTTTTCACCGCTGAGCCACCAGGAAAGCCCTTTGGCAGCTGAGTTCTCCTTAAAAGGTAACAAGGCTTTGTCAGGGCTGTGCTCTTCACCCTCGTAGTCAAAACGAAGAATGGCGGTAAGAACTTAAGTCATTTCTCTAAAGAGATAAAGGAGTAAAAGGAGGAAAAGATTAAACGGGTGGTAAAGGCGGGGGTGGGGTGGGGGTGGTTTCCAGGTGGCTCAATGGGTAAAGAATCCGCTTGCAATGCAGGAATCAAAGGAGATGCTGGTTCGATCCCTGGATCGGAGAGATCCCCTGGAGGAGGGAATGGCAACCCATTCCAGTATTCTTGCCTGGAGAACCCCATGGACAGAGGAGCCTGGCGCGTTACAGTCCATAGGGTTGCAGAGTCGAACATGACTGAACAGGGACGCAGAAAGGGAGAAGAGGGCTTCCCTGGTGGCTCTGGTTGTAAAGAACCCGCCGGCCAATGCAGGAGATGCGGGTAAGCTCCTTGGGTGGGGAAGATCCCCTGGAGGAGAGCATGGCAACCCACTCCAGTATTCTTGCCTAGAGAATCCCATGGACAGAAAGCCTGGCGGAGGACGGTGCAGAGAGTCGCAAATAGACGCGACTGAGTACACGTGCATGCAAAGGGGTAGGAAAGGTATAGAGAAGTAAGAGCTTTCTCCTACTGCTTTCTCGCTCGCCAGGCTAGGATCCGAGAGCTTACGTTTGCCCTACTCCTAAGTGGTAAGAAGGAAATATACCCCCTTGTTGGCGAATCAGTGCTGGGGTACTCGAAGCGTAGATCGTCCTCCACTCCGGCTTCACTTTGCCAACTACACCCTCTGATGCGGTCGGAACTGAGCTTAGGTGTTTCTATGGCAACGGACAGCTTTGGAGGACCTTTTCTTCTCTTTTAGCTGGCTACCATTTTGCCTCCCTGTGTTCCAAAAATAATACATTTTGCAGCTTACAAAGATAAAAGGACTTAGGGAAAGAATTGTACAGGTGATTTTGAACGTGGTTTATTTCAGTCAGAAGGAGATTTCTGAGGCTTACTTTTTTGGCGGTCGTGGAAGTTACCTAAACGGGGGCGGGGCGGAGATATGTTTACCCACAAGGCTACGCGGCGGGTCCTCGCAGGTCTCTTTCAGCCATCTTGGACCCTGTGGAGGTGTGTGGAATTCCTGCAGCTGAACTTTGGGGGCAAATAAGAGGGGTAGGCTCGGCTATATCCCTCGGACGAGGCACTGGTGCGACTCCGAGGCTCTAGCAGCTAACGATTTCTGTGGTTTCCAGCAACAGGGAGGACAGGATGGAGGAGATATGGGACTGATGGTTCTGGTACACTGACCTCCGAGAATGGGTGCTCCGGTAACCCCAGTTGCTTCCGGGCCCTAGCGGAGTAAAATACAAAATAGATGCATTTTGTCTGGCAACAGCAGCACCTCTAGGCAGGGTTCTTTGTCCATTTACTGCCACCTCAAACCTTTTTTTTTTTTTTTTGCATGTTTACTATGTCTTCCCTTAGGTATTCTTTCCTGTTCAGTGTGTAAAAGTGTTCTTTGCGTTCTTTGGCTTCTTGACCTTCATTTTTTCCCAGTGATCGTAGCATAACTTTTCTTAAGACTTAATTTTGGTGTTTCTAGGAGTTATGCCTTGTAGTGTAGAATCTTTAGTTTTTATCTTCATTTTGGCGTTTGCTTACTTATCCAGCATTCTGAGTTTGGGATGCTGTTCCACAGGAAGCTAGTAAGTGGGAACCGGGCGTTGCAGTGTTTTAAACTGATTATTTTTGTTTTAAGGCCTGGTGGGAACGGGACTTCTAAAACGACAAATATGTCTGGAAGGTATGTATTTTAAATATCATTGCATTGTACTTATAGTGTACTTGTTTATTAGGCGTGATCGTAAATGTGAGTTTAAGTCTGGTGGGAAAAAAAAAGATTAGATGTTTGGTATAGGTAAATTTAGGTGGGGGTCATCACAAGTCAAACCATACCTGTTGCTTTTTGAAGTTAAATGAGATCTTTTAACATTGTATTTTGTCTTAGGCTGTGGTCCAAGGCCATTTTTGCTGGCTATAAACGGGGTCTACGGAACCAAAGGGAACACACTGCTCTCCTGAAAATTGAAGGTGTATATGCTCGAGATGAAACTGAATTCTATCTAGGCAAGAGATGTGCTTACGTGTACAAAGCAAAGAAGTAAGTTTATAGTATTATACTTTCTGGAGTTTTTACTTGATTTGTCTCATTTTAAGTTAGTAAATGATACTGTTGTGGTTTTTACTTTGGGATTGTAAGCAACTTTAGGGTAGTGTTGGATGTAGATGTCTACTGCACTTAGAAAAATTACAGCTGTTTTACAGCTGTTAATTGTTTCAAAGGAGGAGTCAGCTTCTTATTATTTTAAGGTTTTGTAGAGCATTTTTCATGTACTTTAATTCATTTTGTTGATCTCTTGAGGTTATATTTTTTATGGATGCTTAAAGATAGTCTCTCTCTCTCGAGTATTGGTTCTTAAACCATTCCAGCTCAGTTAAAATTTTGGGATAGAGGCTGAGGGAGAGGTGGAAGAAATGGGTGGACTGTTGTTTTTTAATTGTTTTAAAAAAAGATCTTTGGGGAATGCTTTCATCTCCCTCAGCCCCTTTTCTTGCTGCAACCAGAGAGATCCTTTGAGATGTTTAATTATAAGTCAAATTGTCTATACTTTTGCTGAAGGTCCAAGCTGGTCCCCATCTCATATGGTTAAAAGCTGAAGTCATTAAGGAGCTTCCAAGACTTTATGCATTTAGGGCTCCCCGTGTTTTCTCTTAACCCAGCTAAGATTCATCTTGTTATATTTTGCCTCCCCCAAGCCAGGGACACAACCTCCCGTTCTTTAACACAAGCTGTTCCCTTACCTTCCAGTCTTTTTTTCCAGCATTAGCTTCTTAGTAAGGCCTTCCCTGGCTGTTTACAATTAGAAACAAGTTTCTCTCCCTATACTCAGGTTTTTTGTCCCCTTTTTCGTCTACCCCCTGCCTTCTCCACTATTACAGCTATTAGCATTTATTTCTCAAGTGAATTAAGTCCTTAACTGGGGTTGAGGGCCACTGATCGAGAAGTCACCTTGATTTTACACCACTATATTGGTCCTGTGGGTTCTCATGCCTTTTTTATTTTTAATCGTTTGAAAATTAGCAACACAGTAACTCCTGGTGGAAAACCTAACAAAACCAGAGTGATCTGGGGAAAGATAACTCGAGCTCATGGAAACAGTGGCATGGTTCGTGCCAAATTCCGAAGTAACCTTCCTGCTAAGGCCATTGGACACAGAATCCGTGTGGTAAGTACATTGTTAACTGTGGAACCTTGTGGAATCAAACTAAGTGCAACGAGTTCGGCTTGGACCACTAAGGACTATTGTGACAATAAAATGTCACCAGTAGTTCAGGCTGTAAAATTAGCAGCTACTGTGAAAATGTATTATGGAATATTTTCTTGGCATTATATGAAAAGCGAAGGCAAAGGGTTCAAATGGATTGTACCTAGATTTCAGGTAATTGCTAAAGCTGCCTGGAAGTGGTGGGGAATAGCATTTGACCCTTGAACAACACAGGGGTTAGGGGCTAGTGGGAAATTACTTATGACTGCAGTTGGCATCTTCATCTGTGGATTCAGTCAACTTCAGATTGTGTATGTATTTACTGAAAAAAGTCTGTATAAGTGGACACGTGCAGTTCAAACTGGGTTGTTCAAGGGTCAGCTATTTAAATGAACAGTTTTCTGGCACATGTATTGGACTCTGAAGTAATTGCTAGAAAATGAAAATTCAGTATACCTTTTCCTGGTATAATTCTCTCTTTTTTTCTTTTTTGACATAATTCTTAATACTTCCCATCTCTTCATCATGACAGTCTTGAAATGGGTATAAAGGCTAACAGATGCTCACATCCCAAGGCTTCAGCCAAAACCTTTAACTCCAGATTCTGTGGTTTTTCTAACAGGATAGCCCCTGTTTTCTTTAGTTAGGATGCATTTTTAATAGACAGGGCTACATCTTTGGGGACACAGGGCACTACTGAACCCTGCTGAGCAGTTGAAATTTTTATCAGAACAGGTTTTTACTGTTAATGCATGTGAGTGAAGTCTCTTTGGTCATGTCCAAACGCTACCTCATGGACTGAAGCCCTCCAGAGTCCTCTGTCCATGGGATTTCTCAGACAAGGATACTGGAGTGGGTTGCCATGCCCTTCTCCAGGGTATCTTTCTGACTTGTCTCCTGCACTGGCAGGCGGATGCTTTACCACTACCACCACCTGGGAAGCCCCCATATTGTTAGAGGAGACAAAATTAAATGGACTCTGTGTTCCCAGTACTGATTCTTAGTCAGTGAATATTCAAAACTGAAGGCTATAAACATTAGTTCCCTTCCCATGAGGGTGTGAGTCATTGGATGCCTCTCAGAGAGAGAGGTAATGGGATGAGAGATGTATTTATGTTGTTATATTCAGTGACTATTGTATATAACATGCACCTTGTGTTCTTTTCCCTTCCAGATGCTGTACCCTTCGAGGATTTAAACTTCATGAAAATAAATAAAAGTGTGGATTTGTCCTGTTGTGCTTTTGTTAAATGGCTTAAAAAATTCTTTGTCCTGAATACATTTGCTCAGTCCTAAAATGGTGGTGGTTATCAGGCATAAACAGAGTACACAGGAGCCTAGAGAATATAGGACTATAGGAGGGTTTTGATGAGGATGGATGTATCTTGTATCTTAATACAAGACCTTAAATGGTAGGGGGAAGATTACAAGTGATTTTTAGTTAGAAACAGTGGAAAGGAGTATCTTGGAAGGTTTCTAGTGATGGAGCACTGGAACCTAGCCTATGGAAACATTTTTTAATTTGGCATCACTGTGTGGCTTATGGGTTTTCTCTGTCCCCCAACCAGTGATCAAACCTAGGCCCTTGGCAGTGAGACTGCAGGGTACTAACCACTGATCAGCCAGGGAAGTCGCTTTAGCCAGTATTGATATATATGTAAAACTTTTCCAGATTTCCACATCAAATGGATCTATAATTCTTCCTTTTATTTCAATTCTGGCACTGTGGTATTGGTAGCTGTCTCCCTCATTACACTGAAATAACCTTGTTTTGATCTAAAGTACCTTGTAATAGCATGCAGTTTGATATAGATTGGTTGGGAAACTTAGGAATTAAAAATGGCAGATGGGAGAAATTTGCAGGATATATTGATGGTATTTGGCAGCTTATTTGAACAAACATGGGTGAGGTATATTTGGGATTTGTGACTGGACAAAGCATTGCAGTATTTATATAACATTTGGTTGGGAATAATACGTAACTTGAAAGTGTCTCCAAAATGCCATAAACCTTAGAAAAAAATCTTAGTAGAGGGTGGTCAGGATTGCCTGGACAGTGTTGCTTTCTTTGGTCTATGTCTTAATATAGTAAAGTGCAAAATTGAGATGTTTTGGCATAACATAATGGGAGTTTGACAAACTGAGCCCCTTTTGACTTAAAATTGTTTGTGGGCTTCTCTAAGAGCTCTTAAAAATGAGTAGCACATAGCCGTTCTACATTTCACTTAGTTTAATGGGGGCCCTGAAGCCAAAATTGTTGGAAGAGTCAGGGAAATTGGGTATGTGTTTGTACTGCCAGCCTGTTGTCAAGCAGCTGTCCAGAAGCAACTGTTAGGAGGCATGGCCGTAAGGGAAACAATGTGGGTCGTAAGAAGCAGCAGTTTGGGGTCATTGAGCAACCATGCTCTCCTCACTCTTTCAAGGCCACCACATTTCAAATGTCTTGAGAAGAATCTTAAGGAAATTGAACTTGGAAAGTTGGGTCAAGGCAAGGTAGAGCAGATACCAGACCTTCAGTGAGCTGTGAAGTCACTCAGTCATGTCCGACTTCGCGACCCCATGGACTGCAGCCTACCAGGCTCCTCCGTCCATGGGATTTTCAGTGAGCTTTAGTTATCCTAAAAAAGTAACCAACATAAAGGAACTACTTTGTTAAGTAGTACTCTTGGGGTCCTCATATAGAGGAGGAGATGCTTGAAATATCACTTGCCAAGCATCTCTTCCTACAGTTTCAAAAGGGAAATGGCACAAACATTTGATGTGTAAGCAGAAGGCATTTGAGGAGCCAATTAACTGGGTTATGTAATGTGACTAAAACCTATTTGGAGTAACTGGAAAGTCTAGAAAACTATACCAGATGCCAGGATATTTAATTTTGTTTTTGACTGTCACCCATAGCATATGGGATCTTAGTTCCCTAACAAGGGGTTGAACCCATGCCCCCCTGCAGTGGAAACAAGGAGCCTTTTTTTTCTTTTCTTAATATGGAATGCTTCACATATTTGTGTCATCCTTGTGCAGGGGCCATGCTAATCTTCGTAGTATCCCAATTTTAGTTTGTGTGCTTCCAAAGTGTGGAGTCTTAACCACTGGACCACCAAGGATGTCCCAACAATATTCTCATATTAGAGTGTCATTGAAGAGCTTGAGTGACAGGTGACGAAATTCATATTTTAGAAAGATCCCTGTGCAAAACCAGGAAGGGAAAACCAGGTAGGCTTTGTAGTCTTAACTAAGACATTTGCACACTGAAATAGATTATAAACATTAACCAAATTTTAAAACCAGTTGTGGAAAGGAGTCTTCAAAAGTAATGTTCTCGGCTTCGGTTGCTGAACAGGTAACTTCACAAATTTGGGGGACCAGGAGATGGTTGAGAGGGAGAGTTCAAGAGTTTGAGAAAGCTGGAGAATGCCCACCTGTCAACATGTCTAGGAAGGCAGGTAGTGGGGTCTGGATTAGGCGTACAGAGGAGACGAAATCTTAATTCTCTCTGTTGTAGGAGTTCAATGGATAAATCCGGGGACGATGGTAGAATAATGAGGTGGATAAACAAGAAGTGATAGGCACTTGAAAGCAAGCTGAGAGTTTGTAGGATAACCGGAGTAAATGCAGTTGGAAGTAAGCCTTGCACACAAATTCATGCATACTCTTAAACTGATGTAATGGTAGCACTTGTGAGAACCTGTATTAGACTTATCTGCTCCCATAGCAAGGTTTGGTTTAATGCAGACTATACTCAAGACAAAGTTACACTGGAGGAATTGCTTGTTTCACAGAAATGAACTAAAATGGCTAGCACCTTGTCCTCTAAACTATTAAAACTGCCACTCCACAAGCGTGACACTGCTGTTATCTCTAGGAATTTGATAACTGGTACCATTCTTTATTAACAATCCGGAATTTCTTTGTGGTTTTGTATAGAGAGCACATAATAAAAGTGATAAATTTGGCTTAAAATCCCACCTTCCACTAGTGGGATGATAGACACATCTAATGCCACTATTGTGTAGGATTTCCGACCCATTTTTCTTTTTTTAAGTACATAATCTTATCCAATGAAGTATAAATTCTTGGGAATTTTTTTAACCTACAGTTCCTAGTATAGTAATTTACAATATTCAGTTCCTGAAGTGACTGTTACAAGCTCAGTGCTTCCAGTTCCCAGCTTTTTGGTTTCTTTTGTGGGCCACAAGATTAGTTTTTTTTATAGTTCCTCACAGCTCAGCTTTTAAGCTTTTAATAGCAAGGATCTACCAGGTTTCCTCCAGGGTTAAAAGTGTTAATTGCTCAGTTATGTCCAACTGTTTGCAACCCCATGGACTGTTACCCTCTGTCCATGCAGTTCTCCAGGCAAGAGTACTGGAGTAGGTAAACCATTCTCTTCTCCAGGGGATCTTCCCTACTCAGGGATCAAACCCGGGTCTCCCGCATTGCAAGCAGATTTTTTGCCACCTAAGCTACCGGGGTTAACGCATTTGCAACTCTTAACATTCATTCATTGTACAGAAAATGACTTTAGTTAATAAGTGGGTCTGGGACCTCTCTGGCGGTCCAGTGATTAAAAAAATCACGTTTCCAATGCAGGGGGCGGGGTTTGATCCCTGGTCAGGAAACAAGATTCCACATATGTGAAAGTGAAATTTGCTCAGTCGTGTCCGACTCTCTGCGACCCTATGGACTATACAGTCCATGGAATTCTCCAGGCCAGAATACTGGAGTGAGTAGCCTTTCCTTTCTCCAGGGGATCTTCCCAACACACGGATCGAACCTAGGTCTCATGCATTGCAGGCGGATTCTTTACCAGCTGAGCCACAAGGGGGAGGACAAAAAAAAAATTTTTTTAAGTGGATTTAACACGATATTACAAATCAACTACCTTCAACTTAAAAAAAAAAGGTAGGCCCTAAAATCGGTGACTCAGGATAAGGAAAATTGAAAAGTACATTCCACTTACCTTTTAAACAGAGAGCTAAATAGTAAGGTTTTGCATCTAGCTCCTGGCCCCTAGTGGGTCCATATATTTTCACTGGATAACTGAATTAAAAAGTAAAACTCCCTCAGTAAGGACACACATTTATCACCATCTTATTACCATCAACACCGACTAATCTCACAGCGCAACTCACGTGGGACGCTAGGTTGCATTTATTGGCCGGCTTCACACGAATGAGACGCGATTATCGTGATGCGACTCTCATCTTCCACATTGAACTTCTTACCGGTGACGCCAGCCAATCAAAAAGCAACTTTCAGCCGCCAAGTCCCTCCACCTGCCTAGAGAGGCGAGGGGCGGGGCTGGCGCTGGGCGCGGAGGCGTCACGTACTCCATGGTAACGACGCTCGGCCTGAAGATGGCGGCCGAGTCGGGTAGAAGAGCGGGCTCCTCGGATTCAGGCCTGGGCCTGAGCCGGTGGCACTGGAGCGGTCCTTTATGGTTCCGAGGCGTTTTACTTCTTTTGGGTGGGCTCCGGGCAAGCACCACGTCTATTCCTGTCTCCTTGCGCAGTTCTCCTCCATGCCGGCACCACGTTCCCTCTGACTCTGAGGTAGGGCGACAGAGGGGCCCTGTGAGGGTAAAGTAATATGGGAGGCAACGGTAGAGAGGATCGTGTTGGAACAGGGTGTACTGGAGGAGAAAGCGAGATTGGGCCAGAGACTGAACTCTGAGAGGGTTGGGACCAGCCATCAGTTCCCTTCCTGCACGCAGCAAAGTGGCTCAATTCGGCACTCGAAAAGAACATCATCACTTTCCCGTGCGGAGAGTTGTGCTTAGCAAGTTGTCCTAGAGCAGTGGTTTTCCAACTTGGGTGTGCCTCAGAATTACCTACTGTGCTGTGCTGTGCTTAACCGCTCAGTCGTGTCCTAAGGACTTGTTAAAATTCAACTGGCCGCTCCATTCATTCCCTCCCGCTGCCCACTTTTGACTCATTAGATCTCGGATGGAGCCTCAGAATTTGCAGTTGAAGTTCCCAGATCGTTGATGATGCTTCTTGTCCAAGGACCTTACTTTGGAAACCACTGACCTAAATGTTTGAAAAAGAATTATTTGGAGAGCTAGACAAAATCGTTGCGGAGATATTGGGAGTTCTCCGGAGACAAAATTCAGATATATTTTCAAGTTACTTCATCACATTGCTTGCTTTATCCTATTCTCCTGCCCTGAAACACCTCTCTCCCTCCCATTATATTTTTCTTCCTGTCTAAATTCTTTCATTCTTAGTTCCTTAATTGCAAGGCAGCCTGCTGAA